CCCCAAAACCCCAAAACCCCAAAACCCCATTACGGAGGCCCAGTGGATATATGGCTGGTCTCTTCTGAAGGGATTTATAGTGGGTTATTCAAGGAACTGGATTAGGGAGAGGCAGTGGGTAGATTTTGGGGGTGGAAATGGAGGGTGGGATTGGGGGAAGAGGGAGGGTGGAGGGGATTGGGGAGGTTTTGGGGGAGAAAGAGAGAGATGCAAGTTTTGGGGATTTTTGGGAGTTTTAAGAGGATGAGAGGAGAATTTGGGATTTGTCACAGATTTTGCTCAAAACTCGATTTTTTATAAAACGTCTTGATTAACATCTGAATTATCATAGTATCTTTGATATTTAAATTCCCAAATCAGAAATTCTTCCTGATGTCCAATTCGTAATCTCCTAAATTCTCAAGGTAAAAATCCTATATTTCCGAGGAGGTATTAGTAGCTCAATAAATATCCACCAAATAATGCTGAACTTGTATATGAGAAAGCCAAATTAGAAAAATTTAATTAAAATTTTGCAAATTTCCCCATAAGCCTCTTCACATGTCTTCTAATTGGATACTTTTTCTCTTATTATAATCTTTATTGAGTTGTAACAATCATTCGGCAAAAGTTATCTACATTGGCTACTAATAAAGCTAAGAATAATAACTGCCTCATGATTTCTTAAAACTTCTGCTATCAACTCTTCCTCCTTAATTTCAAATGGAGACAAGACGAACAAAAGCTAAAGCAGATATTTTAGATTTATCTCAGCATTGAGAGGAAAATTCTGGCTGCATTAAACACTAGCATCTAAACCTTGCTAAATAAGAATGAAGGAGCCACTTCTTCTAATAATTTTGCTCCAGTTGCTTTAGATCTATATCTCCTGACCTAGCTTTCTCTAACAGAGCTGACTTAATTAAGAGCCTCTTGTTCTCATGTCGCTTATGCCATCAAGGATGGACCATTAGACCAGTACAGTTTTACTATTTCCTAATTAGTGCTCTTACTGAAGATGGTACTTAAAATAGCACTACGGATAAAATTTCAGGAGCAACAGGAGATCCTAAAATCCTAGCAAATAGGCCAGTCATGCACTTAACTTATGCCTAATTGACAGCTGGCTTGCAATCATCCAATTTGTAAATTTTTCAAATAATAATTTAGTTAAAATTTGGCATGGAAATTAATAATAACGATAACTAGCGGATTACTACTCTCAGGAGGGTTCATTTACGACTCAAAAGGTATGAAAAAGAAGTTATAAATACCCATAACTACCCTACTATTATAAGCATCCTCCATCAGTCCCATCAAAAATTAGGTATATAAATACTCCTTTAATTTCCCTCCCAATATCACTTGCAAAATTCTTGAAACCTGTTCATGTCACAGTGCCGGCTGCCAGCCGGCACGAAGAAATTGAGAAATTTGTGTAGGATTTTAGGATAAATTAGGCTTAGGTAATATGGGGAGTGTTTAGAGGGTTTGGATAGGGGATTTAGTTAAGGATTGATTTTAGGATTTCAGTGGAAGGGATTCTCCGAAGAGCTTCATTTTCGTGCTTTTTGAAGAAAGGATTTTGAGGCTGATCGTGTGTTCTTGGCTTGAGAGATCTTCACTTGTTTTTATAGTCGAGACGAATATGGTGGGTTTTGGAAGGAACTTTTTCATATACACATCCTGACTGATGAGTATTGTGTACCATTAGTTCTAAATCCTCTTTATTAGCTTTCCCTTTATTGTCTTTGAGAGTGTTGGTAAATTGTTTGGTAATTTTAGGAATTTGGGGTATACTTTCACTGTCACCCAAGATCTGAAGCTCGTCAGCCCAGATATCTTCAAATACACCAGATAGTGCAATATTCGTTTTAGAATCCATTTAGTTTTAATATATTCACTTATAATTTTCAAAAATCATTTCTTAAATTGGGGTTTTGGGGTTTTGGGGTTTTGGGG